CCAGTTTATTATGTCTTTATTTCAAATCTATACCACTGCTTGCTTAAAAGTAAGCAATCAAATCTAAGCCATCTGTTGGTTTTGTAACACTGTTGGTGACTTCACAATGGAAAAAAAAAAAAATTGTTAGTGCTTAAAAAAAAAGCCCTAAAAACCTCAGAGGATTTCCATTCTTTCGTCCTTTTATCACATTTGCTCCTGTGCATTATTTCTCTGGTGAATAAAGAGTTAACCTCCAGCCAGCAGTCTGTAATCAACAGGTTGTTCTAACAGAAAAATAATAACCCCTATCCATCTTTTAAAGTTTAGAAGGTTGGACTAAATGATAGAAAAAATACTGATTAAATCCCCTTAAAAACAGAAGTGGGGCCAGGACTAAAATGAAAGGCTTTCTGCTTTAGTAAAAAATCCTCCTCGTTCCTAAGTGAAAGAACCATTACATTAATAACTTAAAAATATATCTCACAACACCCAGAACTTAATTAATCTCTGTCGATACAGAATGATAACAAAACACTTGCTAACCTTTAGGTGGCCAATTCACAGGCAGGTGGAGAGGTTCAGGTCTCCCTGGAATAGCGTTGGAACAAAAGCAGCATCCTGTTTCCTTTTTTCAGTGTCTTTCTCTTCTCTTTTTTTTTTTTTTCAAGCATTTGAAAATGGAAGGGTGGGTGCTGAGGTGGGGGCGAAGGCAGCCCAGCCTGGGGTGGGATGAGTTTTAATGGCCGATGCTGGAAATATGGTTTGCCTGCTACAGTGTCTGCACTACTGCAGCTCTGTGTGTGGGCGTAAAGAAATGACACGACTGGGTTTCAAACCATTACACTGAAGATTTGCAAACAGTTAAAACAAAAAAAAACCCGTGCACAAACCCATCAGGCACAAATGAAAAATGGTTACTTTATTTCTCTTCTTCTGAGTTGGAGTTGTTGGTTTTTGTGCTGTTTTGTTTTTTTTTTTCAATTGAATAGATTTAACCCAGTCAGGTTTTCTCCTCGACCTTTAAAATAAAAAAAGATAAGTATTTAAAGAAGGCTTTTTTGTTTGAAGTAGTGTGAACATTTTGTTACCATTTTTACTGCTGAATTTTGATTAACCAAGAAGAGTCCGTATTCCAAAAGGTGTCCGAGGTCCCACAGTAAAGGTCTCCAAAGCATGCCTGTATTTCTGCCTCTGCTGGATCCTGGTAGCACCAAGCAGAATGGGGCAACAGACATAACAGCTGCCCCACAGCCAGAAAGGCAGGGTGTTTTAAGCCATGATTGTTGCCTTGAATGTTCCACAAAACACAGCCAAGACAAAAAGGGATGTTCTGGCAACCCATTTTTGTTCAGTACTCTTGCAATGTATCAGGCTTGCTGACCCAAATCCAAATCAGACAGAAAACAATTTGAATGTTTGGTGTAAGTACAGAACAAAAAGGAGGCCAACAGCAAGGAGGCAAAGGGATTGTTCTCTATAGTACCATGGGGAAGTAGAGGAAAATGCTATTTAAGCTAAAACACAATTGCTGGCACCAGTGGGAATGAATGTAAGTGGGTATGAACAAACCATTGTTGGGAAGGATGAGGAAATTTTCTGTGAGATGAGTGAGAGCAATTAACAGGAACATTGTTGACCCCCCAGAAATGAAACAGAAACAGAACAGTTTTAGAAAGGAGTTTGAAAATTTCAGGGAACCTCTGTGACTCATCAGCTCCATGGCAGTAAGGGACTAGAACTCATTAAATGCATTTCTTCGTGTATGTATGGGAGGAGGCATCTAGACTGGAAATTGTGTGCTTGTACCCAGAACAACGCATTTTTCAGTGCAGTGTTTCAGATGTGTATCCTTTTAATATTCAAATGAATCCCAAATCAAACGGGTGCATTTGGGTATTTTGTTGCCATTAAAGAGCAAGACAACCAGACACCTGGGCAAAGCAGGATGGCAAGAAGGGGATCCCCACAGTGCTATGTAGTGCATAGTGTCACCAGCAGTTCTTCACCCCATCCTGGTCACAGAGGATCCAGAGCTGAATACCAAATCAGCAGAATTCAGTGTGTGAGTAGAGGCAGCATGACTGAACTCGAGCACTTCAGGCTACTAATTCCAACCTTTAACAAGTAGAAGGTAGTTAAACAATGAATCACACCACAGTGAATGAAAAAAAGATCTTCGTTTCTAAATCTATCTGGTAAAACTGTCAGAGGGATGTTACTGCTAATCCACACAAGTACAGGCTGATGGGGTATTAAGTGGGGTCTGGACACTAGCCATAGTAGGAGCTTGAGTCTTTTCTTCTTGTATAAACTACAGGCTGAGGTCAGCTCCAGTAAATTTTGCTAGAGAAATGTCTGTGGTCTCAAAAAGCACATGGTTAGGGGGAATAGAAATATGGCTCCTAGCAGCGTTACAGTCATGCAGACTGACTATAACTGTACAGCACGATGTAGAATGCTGACTGAAATTGCTTGAATCAATTCAGTAAAACTGGTAATCTTCCTAGCACTGTGATTTTTTTGTGTGCAAATAAGTAAAAGACAGGTTTTTATCTCCTTCAGTTCTGGTGACTTCCTCTAACTGTAAGTTAATTATGTGCACTGCATGCTCCATGAGAACACTTGTGGTCAGACATACAGTGTGCATTATTCATGAGTCCTTTAAATCTTACTTTTTTTTAAATAAAAAAAAGCATTGATTGCAACTTTCACGGCAGTTTGAAAGAGTAGCAACAAAATGCAGTGCTTGAAGCAGTATCTCTGACAGGTACACACTGCTCACTTCGTATGTCATGGACACTGTGCTGACTGTCAGCTGTAGTGCTTCTATTTCCATGCCACTGTGGCATTTATCTTTTCTGCCATGGTATCATCAGCCACTGTGCTGCAGATAAAGTGACATCTCAAATGTCTGAATGCACCTAGTCCTCTTTTCGGGACTAACCCACATGAACAGTTATTATATAATGATTCTATCAGTTAGCACATACAGCAGTGTTTATACATGTGAACTCTTAAGTTTGAATGTACAGAACACGATTGCCTACATAGCTTCCATTTGACCACAGGTACACTTAGAGTACAGTTAGGTACTTAACGTGATATATTTCCCCACAGAACACAGCTCTATAAATTGATAGAATCTCTTAAAGCAAGTATTAAAAATTTGGAAACATTAGACCATAACAAAAAAAATTGAAAGCAAGATCAATCAGGGCATTCCAGTAAATTGGAGAGCTAATTATGACTCCAATGTCAGTAATGAATAATGGCTACTGGTGGTCGTGTGGCACTTTTGTATGTTTTTGCTGGACAGCAAAAGCTGCCACCCTAAACACAAGTGTATCCCTCACATATGTCAGGCCAAAAAAAAAATAGAAGTCCAAGAGAAAAGAGCTAGAAGACAAAAACGTGCTTGAACAGCAAAAGGGAGAGGCACTTTCATTAGAAGCAAACGTGGCTCTACTTGCCAAAGAAATGCCAGTACAGGGAAAAGAACTAAAACACAAGGCATAAGTAATAGGTCCCATAGGGAAGAGAGTCAAGGGCTGCTGAGAAAACGCTGAGGCAATCAGGACCAAAGTGTAGCTGACTATTCATGTAACCAAAGTGTTTTGCTATTGAATTTCTGCTTTAAAGTGCTCATAGTTTTTCCATACCTCAACAGCAGGGTTGTGCATGTAGACACTCACTTGAGTGCATACATACACAGGCTAGTTGTAGCCTCAAGCTGTCTCCCATTAAAAGTTACAGACCTTATTTTGCATAAAATTATATGTAATGTGCTTTAGCTAAGGTTGTAAGTGCCGAATCATCATACAGGGTTGATCTGGGGCTCCACTTGGTTTATATATTTTTAGTATTAATTCAGCATGAGCAGTTCTGGCAAATGATTGATTTAGGCATTAATTCATAAGGATATTCCACAACCCCAAAACAAAACTTAAAACTGAGAGAGACAACAGGTCAGTGAGTTGAGAATTGGTCCTAACCCACCTGGACACAGGGTGGGAATGAAGAGAGCTTCATTTACTCCTCTGTGCTCAAGTCATTCTTTTGCTGAGAGCTGAAAGGGTAAAAAGAGGAGGACATTAAAGCTGTGTCTTCTACAAAATAAATGTCTTGCAGGAGGAGCATGAAGAATCTTTCCAGGTTTTTCAGATTGCTGGAGTAATGAGCTATAGTATTTTCAGGCATATCACATCATAAAAATGATTAATTATAATTATGATGTGCTTAAAAGCCATGTAGCTTTCAGAGGAACAGTTGCTTCAACTCAGAAAGTCAGGAAGGTTAGTTTTTTTTACATATGCACAGACTACTCAAACCAATTCCTCCATCTGTTTCTTGTTTGTCATAGAAAACAGATAACTTCAGAACTGCTGATGGTATTCAGAAATGTTCTAAAAACCAACAGCTACATTAACTTAAATGTACTTTGCAGAAAACGAGACTGGAATTTGACAGGGTCGTTCATCACTAAAATCAACTTTCAGATCAATGTCAGAAACAATGAAGGAGAACATCAGTAACCAGAACTGTAGAGGCACATCACTGATTCCAGCCCAGTACCACTCACAGGGCTAAATCCACGTTCCACACCATTCAGCCAACTCAACTATGTTTTTTTCTTATTTTCTCCATAAGCTTTTATGTAGTTGTGTTTTTTCTCAGCGTGTTGTCAAGGAAGCCCTACGTTCTTGTAGCTCAGTATCCAGCTCTTTATTGCTATAAACACAGAACAGTTTAGGATGTTGGATTGATTGATGTACTTTCCAGTATGAAATGATTCTTCTGTAATATAAGTTTGATAGGTTCAGAGAAAAACCTCTTTTTAAAGGTTTGTTTCTACCAAAATATCAGGGTTTGCCTTGATCTTGACCTTTTATTTACCTCTGTCACAATTCCTCTTATATTTTGTTGTCTTTGAGCAATTCTATGTTCCTCTAGCAAAAATCTGGGAGGCTACCAGTGATAATAAGGTTTAACACTATTTGTATCCCTTCCTGTGCCATAAACTTACCTTTCTTTATAATTTTTGTGTGCCTTTTTGTTGGGATAGGAGGTACTATATACACACAGAAATTATGATGCACTCCAAGGAACTCCAGCTTCTTCAGCACTCGAATGTGAATCAGTGTCTGCTCAGCCCAGGGCTGCCTTTCTCTAGAGTGCAGTAGTCACATCCACACTGCAAAGAGCTTCATCTGTCTCAGGTTTGGCACTTACTGCTGACATGACCTGACCGCTGTCCAAGCCGTTCTTTCTTAGTTGTGTCTTCCTGGCAGAGTACTTCCACCCTTCCCAGTGGTGCACGTCGTGGCAATGGACGCGCATTTCGCTTGTGGATCGTGGTTAAAGGTATTCCTGTCATTGTCCCCGTTGGGTTTCATGGAGCTATGCTTTTTTCCTGTTGTCAAGGAAACACCAGTTTTTTCCCCCTGACTCATTAATGTCTGCATTTTTGTTTCCATAGCTACAAAGGAACCTTAGTGTTTTAAAATAGCGGTAATTGGATTACCTTAATTTTTTTTTAATTTGTTGGCACCATTAATGGCTCCAATTTTCAACAGCAGACACCAGAACTGTATCAGCAGTTCTTCAGCTACTAATGCTGAGCATCCCCTTGTCCTGAAATACTGGATACATGCTGAGAAAACTCTCCAGCATCCAACCTCAGGCTCTACACGTGGTACTCCAGTTTAAGTCATTGAGTTCTCAACAGGGATGGGCAATCTCTTTATATTTAAATGTAGTTTTCTGCATACACTAATAAGGTATATGCAAAACTGTGGAGGTTTTGCTTATTTTGTTACTAGTTGCTTAATATTCCCTCCATAACTATATTGAAATGCAACCATTATAATTTAATTGAAGTTTCCCTGATCATGTCTAATGACCATCTATCTGGCACTGGCTGAATTTCCAAACACCTGTTTGGCACAAAATACGAGCTGAAATTACTGAAAATAGTCTTTCCAGTTGCTCTGATTTCTGATAGGAGCCTTCTGATAGAAGTTCTATTGTGAATTTTCAAGGTGTTGACCCCAACATTTCACATATTTCAGAACTTCTGTAAATTTGACCACCAGAAGAATAAACTGGGAGAAATTTTACATGCAAATATCTAACATACCTGGGATACCAGCAGCATGAGCCAGCAGTGTGCCCTTGTGGCTAAGAAGGCCATCGGGGCTCATTAAAAAGAATGGCCAGCAGGTCGGGGGAGATGATCCACCACGTCCACTCTGAGAGTGCAGAAACCCAGAGTGGTGGCACTGCTGGTAGGAGCTGTGTGTGATGGATTCAGTTCTGTTCGGCCTGGTGCCCAGCCAGTCAGTGCGAGTGGGGATGCCTCCTGGTGAGGGGATACAGGACGAGATGTGCTGGGGCTGAGGACGGGAGGAGCTTGATGCTGGAAAGTAAGAAAGGCAGAGGTACAGAATACACATTTATGGTGCAGTGTAGCCACTTCAGACAGGTAGGTAGAGTGTAACAAATACATAAAAAGTGTGAGAAGGCAGCATGGTAACAATTTCAGCGTGGTAGGAATGTACACACAGGCAGAGACAGGCAAACTATCTAGGAGTTTCAGTCTTCAGAAAAAGTGAGTTATGCCCTTCTAAGTAATAGCAGTTCCTAGCTACACTGGGACTCTCAATTCTGTGTGCTTTTCCCATGTTCCTGAATCTTTTTAAGAAAACAAGCTAAAGAGGGTCTCCAGCCTAAAAGTAGTTACAAGCTGATATAAGAAAGACGTGACAGAAAGGAGCTAGATGCTGATCACTATAAACAAGGAATTCCCATTAACCTAAAAAGTTCCTGCTTTTCATCATGGATTTTCTTGCATCCTTGAGGCAAAGAAACAGTATTACCATAGAAACAGTATCCTGTGTCATTGCAGGCCTTTCTGGTGCTGTGTGCTGTTATGGAAACAGACATCTTAGCTGCTGTCCACGTTACACATTTCAATTATTGTGTTTGTAAAGGTATGTTATTAAACTATAATTTCAGGATTAATTTTAGTAACAACGAAGTCTCTGAAGTGTTCAGCAATTCACTGAACACCTCAAGGTTGCCCCATGTTAAAAACAGCATTGAAACAAAATGTATGAACAGTGCCCTTGAGGCAGTAACCGACCTGTCCAAATCTTAGCATGTGCAAAAAAGCTGAATAAGATGGACTGTCCAGCCTTCCAATCATTTGTAAAACTACTTTGAGAAAGCAGATTCTTAAGCTATATGATGAGTGCAAGGACACATCCTTCCTGTGTGTGTGCATGGAAATGAAAGGTGGAAAATCCAGTGAGAAAATGTGACTTAGTTGGCTGAACTGGGAACTGTGAATTCTGAAGTGTTAATCCCTGCTGAACCATTCTTTTGACTTGGGAAAGCCATCTTAGATCCTGATCTTAGGCTTATTCCTGATGGGTTTTGAGCACTTAGAGCTCTGAGAAAATCTCAACCTTTCTGTATTCATAACATCTGACATACTTCATATATACACATACATACTGCATATTTCACTAGTGTTCTGCAAGCATCATTATTTCTTAATTTTTGGAATAAAACCATTTAAAAATCTGTGACACGATTATAAGTTTTTACTTGAGCTTGTGGTCATTCATCATTTCACTTGTCAGTTGTAAATAGCTTCCTGGCCAATTATATTAATTATACCTTTTAATTACTGTAATTCAAGAAGCCTAAGTGTGCCCTTCTTTAACTTCATCTTTCATCTCTTTATCTTTTATCTGATTTTAATCATAATTATCTGTACCAGGAAGGCGATACGCTGCCTCTTTTTCTTGCAGTTATTACACCTTGTAATGGGAATATTTCTTAACACTGAAAAACTGAAAAGATATCAGCTCCAGATAGGATTTGAACACATATAATGAAAACAGGCAACCGTAATGAATTCTTTGGTAAAATTCAGGTGCCTCTGCTGAGCTTCAAGGGAAACAGAAAAACAACATGGAAAATGTCGGTTTTGAAATTCATCTGATTTTCCTCACAAGGCCAATGATGCAATGACGCCTCAACAATATTCATATCATTTAATTGGAGCAATGCCTTATGAAGCACTTCTAATTTGGCATCAGTTTGACTCCTTACACACTTTTTCATCCCTAAACCAAACTACTGAAGATGGTGTTCTTCAATTCAGCTAAAAAAACAAAACAAAACAAAACCCATGTTGAAACAGTCCATCAAAACTCCCCCAAAAAAGGCTTGCAAACTGGAACTGTGAGTTCATTTCTTGTATTCCTCTCACTTCCCCTCCCTCCCTCTGTATAATCAATGGATATCAAGATGTTACAATCACAATACAATCAAGAGAGTTGGGCAAAGTGGACAATGATAACAAAAGAGAACAAAATGGAAGGCTTACCCTTCAGCTGGGCTCACCACAAAACACCAGAAGGAGGGATCTCCAGAAGAGATCCTTCCCCTCTGGTAGCCAGCTCTTAAATAGGTCTAGGAGGGGTGCAGCCAGGCTCCCCCCCTTCCTGCAGCACAGGAGAATTGCCTTCAGCTGTGCTCCTCTGGCTGGCTCATGGCTCGCCTCAGGTGATCAATCAGAGGTTCAGGCCATGGCTCAGCAGTTCCCATACACCCTCCAAAAAATAAACCAAAAAACCCCCAGCTGTTTCACTCCATACTGTCTATAACATTGCAAATTTAAAAAATGTAAATAGTTAAAAAAAAAATCATATATGTTGCACCTTCAGGGCTACAATATCTTGCAAAAACTGCTCCTTATTAAATCTCTCTGCTTAGCACAAAAAACAAAGCGACCTCGGAGGTCTCCATATTACTTATTCTGATTAACTAACAAAAGTCCTGTAATTTATTTAATGAATGTTACAACTACTGTCGCAACTACAAGACCAAGACCTTCATGTCATACCGTGCTGAGTGGGACAAGACACCTGGTTACTTCCATCTCTGAGATGTGCAGAGGCCTGCAGTGATCTCCATAGGCTTCAGCCCTGTGTAGAGCTGGTTGATGCTCCTGGCTCAGAACGTCATTTTCCACAGGAGATGTAAATCCTGATCCCTTATCAAGGACTCGCAGGTCAGGGCAAAGCAACCCTTGTCTCAGCATGTGGGAAGTGCCTGGTGGGAGGATGCCACCACCCAGTCCCACCAGTGGTAATGCACTGAGTGAGCACTAAATGTCGTACAGAAAGAAGCAGATGTGGAGTGCTTGTCTTTGCTCTGTGCTTCCAGTTTCATGTGCTGATAACATCCCCTCCTGGGAGATGTGAAAGTGTTCCAGAAAGCCCTATTGAAGCCTGCAGCTAGTGAGGTAGGAATTCCTCTCTGGCTCTGAAAAATGAAGGGATCCAGCAGCTGAGGTTTGCCTGAGTCCTAATTGTGAACATTTTTCATGTCTGTGTTCCTCATGATTATTTGAATAATCATGGGAGTAATTATTGAACTGAAAAGAATATTTGCCCTCACTGTCCTGAAGAAGGGGCTCTCTTTCAGGCACTTGTAGTTATCTTGTTTTTGTTTAAATCTGTTCAGATCCCTTATATGTGTGTCCATATCCTTTTGAAAGTACTCCTTAAATTCTGAGCATTTCAGCAGGGAGTCAGATCTGTGTGGTACACTGAAATACATGTTTATAACACTAACAAACACTGATTTGGAAATAACTGGATTATGGTGTGTTTTTTTTCTGTCTTTACTTCTTTATCTCAGCATGTCTCAAGTTTACTGAAGCTTTGTGTTTCTTATTAATATCATTTTTTACTCAGACCTCACCACGCCTGCTGATCCCATCGCTGGTTGTTTGGGCCCATATGCACAGGGAAGCATTCAGCTGTTCAGGCAGTATTTGTTTTTTCTGTTCCTATGGCACCCATACCATCGCACATTTGGGAGTCCCTTATTTAGAAGGCACATGGTATTCATATCTTGATTAGAAAGAAAAGCAGCTGTAGCTCCTACTTGCTTCATTTTACCTGTTTATAGACTTCAGTTCCTAGTAATTATTGATTTACAGTATTTAATGTATTGCAGAGTACTGCATCCCCTGAATTAGCCACCAAATATATAATAGAGCAATTCTTCTTTCTGAGCATTAAAACCACACACTGACATCAGCCAAGAACTCCAGTTTTGCCTTATCTGTCATCATCTTGCTGACAACAATGTATTTCCTACTGACTTAGTGCTGTAGAGCTGAAGTGGATATTAACTACTTGTGCAGCAATGTAAAAGATTTCTTAATAGAATCTTCAGTTTAGAGCAAAATAATAAATGGAGGCAGCTAGTAAGAAAATATATAAATGAATGCAATGCAAGAACTAGATCTGAAAAAAAATTAAATGATTGCTCTGTGAGAATACTAGTCATTGCTGTGCCTGCTTTGTACAAATATTTATGCAATTCCTTTATATTTTTCACTCTGTGGTTATTATGTCTTGGACTCACTGCAGATAACAGAGAACTTAACATTCCTGGGAGGTGAATGGCATTCATTGAAGTTGGCTCATTCACACAAAAGTAAGTTTGCTGCTTTGTGCTTTGGATTTAACTTCTTGTTTCATTTACATTTCTTATTTATTCCTTTAATTGTTGCCTTTGCTGAAGCATTAAGTTGCAGTCAGCTTCCTGGACAGCTTCATTTCAGTATAACTGAAAGCGTACGAAGAATTCTCAGCTTTTATTTCAGGTTGTGGTTTCTTTAAACCTGATGGGTTCAAGATGTCAGAACCAGACTTTTATATGCACTTTGGATAAAAGAGCATGGTCTGAAGACCGTGAGTACAGGTATAGCTCCATATTTGTGATTTAACATGTAATATGTCATGATCACTACTGGTTCTTTGAGGTTTTACATTGGACGTTTGCATTCATCACACGTTTAATAGCCTGGTGTGCTTTTATGAGAGATGTTGTGGTCTTTAGAATTAAACAAGGATGAGATATAGGGAAGAAGCACGATTATTTCCAAACAATCTGAAGTTTTAAAGTACTTTAAAACGTTCTATCTTTAATTGTGCTGTTATTGTGCTTGCTCATGAGTTGTGGGTGATAATGTGATTATCATCTGCCTACTTGATCACATGCACATTTGTGATGCTTGCAAGAAGCAACATTGTCTAGCTGGTAATTGTCATATTACACAGATTCCAAGAGACTGTTTCCTAGACAACAGGAGAGCTGTGGTACATCCACAAAAACTGTGCACTGCTGTGTATCTGCTCTTCAGTCAAACACCTGGTGGCAGCTGCTGCTCCCACTGATGATACGGACAGGATGCAACTGTTTCTATAGCCAGAAACAAATTCTTTGATCTAAGCAAGTCAGAGAAGCTGTTGTTTCATAGGTACGTGTCACATATTTCTCATACTATGTTCCCAGCACCTAAATTTTTTTCGGATAAAAATTTGGTGTTAGTGAAATATCATTTTTAGCCTTTCTAGGTTTCCTGACATAAACTCACTGGCACAGGCAGCAGTGCTGTGAGTTGTGTTTGTGTAGGAGGTGAGCAGAGCAGAAGTGTTTGTTAGTGTGCAGAAAGTGAGCACGGGAAGCAGTGTGACTTACTGCTGTTCTGCAGGCCAGGCACCTCTTCAGAATGCTGACAGTCATTGTAAGCGATGGACAATGGACAGAGGTCTGCTGCCTTGGGAGAGGATGTGCTGCTGTTCTGCTCCTTTGATGTCAGCCATACAGAGGGATTAAATGACTCTCTGCAAAACGTGTTGAAGTGATTTATGTCATCTAGTAAATAATGTTGATGTGTTAGTAATTTGACTGTTTTCTTGAGTAAATGGAAACATCAGTATGGAGGCAGTCCAGATCCAAACTCCCTCCTTCCCACAAATAAATCTCAGATGGCTTTCACAAGATCATATGCTATTTTAGAACCTAGAAATGATTTTTGGAACCAGACTAAATGTGTCTGAGAAGGAAATGAAGGCCTTTTCGAAACAGGAAATAAATGTACAATGGTATTGTTAAGAAACTGCATCCCTCTTTCTGACCCTGCCTGTATCACCACACTTCAGAACAGGGCCACAATTTTACTACATAAGTCATACAAAGCTTGACGTTACAGACAAATAATACATGTTAAGAAACACCAGAAATAACCCTTGTAATACAATCCCTATTGGAAAACAATTTCTGGATCTGCATATGAATCTGTGGAACAGAGTTCCTTGTTGGTTTCAGTCACAAAAGCAAAGTTTCTTTCTCCCTTTTTTATGTTATAGACACTCTTCCTGTGGTGTCATCTTTTATTTCCCCAAAAGACAAGAAAAGCTGTGTGAGACACACTTGTGTGTTGTGGTTTGTGCTTCAGTGCATTTCATTTCTGCAAAAATACGTATACACGTCTCCATATACAGAGCACAGAGAATGACATTGCATGCGTCTGGGTTTGATGCTGCTGAGTGAGCAATGCACTTTTCTGTCCTTTCTTTCCATTGAATAGGTTTACATGTGATTGAAATTCATGGCATAAAAAGGTGCTTTGGAAACTTTCTGGCCAGGCAACAAGAGGTTCTGAATCTTGGGAGTCTGACAGGATTCCTGCAGCCTGTCTCACATCTCTGCTTGTCGTTGTGGTCAAGGAAAATACTGAAGGTGAATATGCGCAAAGATGCTGGAAGATTGTTATCTACATACATGCTATCTGAAAACTTGTTTCTTCTCCTTCTTCTCTTGCTACAGTACTGATGATACAATGGAGATTTGGATGTGTAAACACCTCTGTTTACTGCTCTTTCATGTTTCCTGTGTCAGAAATCAGACTGCCCATTGCCTTCCTTTCACCTTTCTCTGGCAGCATGGAACACCAGTGTTGAAGGGGCAGCAGGTTTCTGTGGCGTAAAACCCTGCTGAACAGCTGCAGGGTACTTGGGCTGTACTTTCCAAAATGATTTAAACTAGCCTAAGATCATTCTGTTGTCAGAGGGAGTGTTTGTGGCTGTATGTGTCTGTCTCCTCCATTTTTTGGCTATCAGTTATGCTGCTATAACCAGCAATATCAGCAAATGGCTCCTGCAGAAAGTTAGCTCTTCTTTGTAGGTTTAACTTTCTGCCTAATGAACCAGGCTTTATCCAGAGGATATAAAAGGAATCTCTCTTATTATTATCTGGGGATGTTTTGTTGCTGTTATGTTTTCACTCATAGTTTTGAAGTACTGGAAAAGCACTGAATGTATCTTTCTGTTTTGTTACCAGCAAGGAATTTCTGTTACATCCATTTTAATATGGAAGCAGAGGAACAGTTTATTTCTGCAGAAAATCATTCTTCGGGTTTGAGGCTGGGGAGCCTTCTGAGAGGGCTTGGGATGAGAATCAGAGACCTGCCCCCTTCCTCAGGGCAGTGCTTAGGGATGCAGGCACGTGGAGGTGAGTTTGCTTGTGAGGAGGCGAGTCCTTTCCTCTGATGAAGTCTTCCTGTGGAGAACCTTACGGAAATTGAGCCCCCTCTTGTGGATTTTCCACACAGAATGTACAAATCAGATCAACCTTTCTTCTGAATAATAACATATATTCCTGTTTGTTTTCCCTGACAGCTAGCATGCTTACTGCTGTTCCATCTCTTCTTAGGTGGTGATTAATCTCAGCATAATGAAAATGTGTAAAATGATAACCTGTAACAATTCTGATTTGCATTTCATAGGCAGCGTGGCGCCATCTTTACCAGAACGTGGGGAGTGAGAGAAGAGAGATTTGTTGGCTATTTCTATCGTCCAATTTTTCTTCACGAGAGAAAAAGAGCAGACAGAATATCCTACAGGGTAAAAGAAGACTCCAGGTTAATTGCAAAAATATGGAAACAAATGCAGACACCTGGTTGTCTTACAGTGGTCTGTGTTTTATTTTGGGTTGAATTGAATTGCATGATACTAACAGATACTGAGTCAGTGCCGGTGGAGGAAGAACAAATGTCACTGGAATGCTGTGGAATGTCAGGTTAAAAAAGAAACCATCACCCCATGGTTTCTCTGAAGAGAAAAAAAGGTGGCTGCTTTCCACTGAATCACCTGAATGCTAATTTGTGGCGTACTTAGAGCTCAGTTCTCACCTGGCAAACGTGTCCTCATTTGCAACAACGTTTGCAGAGTGTTACACATAGTGGAATGGTGACATTTCCCCATTCCCGTCTCCTTGTAATCCCAATCAGAAATCCAGAATGACCAAAACGACTTGAACAGAACTCAGAACTGGAACTGGAATTGGTTCCAACCCACACTGAGATGCTGCTGTGCTTCCTTTCTGCAAAGATTGGGACTTGTAAGAATTTGTACAGCTCGTCCAGACAGAGATGTACAGATGACTTGCAAGGCATGAGGAGCTGATTCATAAAGCACTGAAGAGACCTTTCTGTACCGGCGTTATGAAAGCGCTCGCGGGCGGCACGCGCGCTTACAAAACGGGGCGGCCGCGCGCCGTTACCTAACAGCGCTGCCGCGCGGCTCCGCTACGCCCTCTGGCGGCGGCACTGAGCGCGGGGCGGGGCCGCCTTCAGCTGCTGAATTCCGGCCGGGCGGAAACGGCGGCGCCTGTGAAACACGCGCCGTAGCGGCACGATCTGAAATGCTTTAAGATGCATCCAGAAGTCGGTTCTCGGTTAACGAACGGCACCGCGTTGTACTCTTGAGCCACGCCGCCGATCGCCAGGGGAAACGGCTCAAGAAACGCAGCAGCTGCCGCCCCGCCCGCTGCGGTTGGCGATACGGGAGAAGTCACTTCGAAGCTGCTGGAAGCGCAACGCCCGGGGCGCCCCGCGGTGCCACGTGGTGCCGGCGGCGCCCGCTGGGCGAGGTTCGGGACGCGGCCGTGCCACGCGCATGCGCACCGAGCGGGACGCGGGGCGGCGCCCGACGCCCTCCGCGCGACTCCAAGGGCTCCGCGACCTCGGCGTCACCGCTGCGCCGCGCGGGGATTGGGCGCCGCCGCGACCCGGCCACGCTGCGCAGGCGCTGTTGCCGCCGGCGGCCCGGCACCGCGGGGTGACGGAGGGGCTCCGCTCTTGGAGAGCCGCGGCAGTGCCGCTCCGCGCCCGCCGCCATGAAGATCTGGACCTCGGAGCACGTATTCGAGTGAGTGCCCGGCGCGGGTGGCTGAGGGAGCGGGGCGGCGGCTTCTTCCTCCTTTTTCTCGTCTTCCTCGTTTTCCGTCGGTCGGGGATTGGAGGAGCTTCCCCGCCTCCGGGCCGCACTGCCCCGGCCGGCTCGATGCCGGTCCCAGCTCGGACTGGGCGGCCGCGGCTCCGCCTCTCCTCCAGGGGCCGCTCCGTGCCCCTCGTGGGCTGTGCTGGGGCCGCTCCCGGGCGATCCGGGGCTTAAAAACCGCTCCGATTGGCGGCAGCTGAGCCCGCGTTTTTTAGGGAAAGTACCCGAGAAGTTTAAGTCTGCCGGCGTTATGTCACGGCGAACGCGTTCTTACCACGTTAAAACCGGGAGGTAACGGATCTCAGGATCCCCGTTAGCCAGGTGCCCTGTGCTCAGTTCGCACCACCTGCCACTGCCCCGCCGCTGCTTCCTGCTGGAGAAGGACGTTTGCGGTTAAGAGACGTAAATTGAACTGCTTTAAAAGCACGACCCGACTGCTGCGTTGGGTTCAGCTTGCATAGAACTCCGGTTACAACGCTGCGGTGCTCAGCCTCATGCTTTGGTTGTGTTTTGGCAGTCATCCCTGGGAAACTGTAACAACAGCTGCCATGCAGAAATACCCAAACCCAATGAACCCCAGCGTGGTCGGAGTGGACGTCCTGGACAGACACATTGACAGCAGCGGGAAGCTGCACAGCCACAGACTGCTGAGCACGGAGTGGGGAATCCCAGCCATTGTGAAATCGGTGCGTGTGCTGCAGCACAGCTGGGAAGGGACCGCAGGGAAGGGAAGTTTGTGAGGATGTTGTAATAGAGATGTGTGAGCTCGTAACGAGTCCAGGCAGTTGTGCACGAGGAAGTTTTTAACAGTGTTACATGTACTGAATTCCAGACAGACAAAAATTGGCAAGCTCTTACATTGCTTCCAGTTGTAAAAATGAGATCTGCCTCACTGAGTGCTTTTATTTTTAACTAAACCTCAGTCATCAGTGTCTGTTTAATGCAGTAACCACTTCCTGTGCATTTAAAAGCACTAAAAATAATGGCAGCATAATTAATTGTGTGTATTCGTGCCCATCTCCCAGCTCATTGGCACATGCAGAACGAAGACCTACGTTCAGGAGCACTCCATCGTTGACCCACTGAAAAAAACAATGGAGCTTAAATCCAGTAACGTGAGTACTCTGGTTCTGCAGTTCAAGTAGATTGCAGCTTATAGTTGTGCCTTAGAAGTTTGAAGACGAAAGGCACCTTACAAATGATTTGCAAGTTGCATTAGAACGGTGCGTTACATGTGTAAGTGATGTGTTTATAGCTGACCAGTTCTTTTTCTCAGAAAGGAGCTGCTGTGTTTTTGGCACTGCTCAGATGTGAAGCACCTGAATCGTAGAATTCTAGAATCACGCAGGTTGGAGAAGACCTTTAAGGTCATCAAGTCCAACCACAAGGCATACAGAACACACTGATGAGCAGATTGCCACTCTTGGTTTTGTCTGCTCTTCTGGAATGTTTTTCTCCAAGCCCTTTGGTGCACAGTGTCCCAGTTTCCTGATGGTTTAACATCTGCTTTATGTACTGCCACACCTTTCTGATTCCTTGACATAAAGGTGGTACTTGTGCATGCTAAACGTTGGTAGCTGATAAATGATCCAAACAATCCAGGAAAAGTCAATGAGATCAGCAACTGCTGAACTTAGAGATTCATTTATCAAGTTCTACAACCTTAATGCTAATACTTGCAAGAACAACCTTGTTTAAATCAGATCTGTGTTGGTTTTCCATCTGCAGTTTTACATAGTATTTCTGTAATACTTTTACTGAGGGGTAATCTTGTTCTATGTTCTGCAGATTTCATTTACAAACCTCGTGTCAGTAGATGAGAGGCTTGTCTATAAACCACACCCTCACGAACCAGACAAGTGAGTACCTCTTCCTTCTGAGACTGCCTGAGGGAGAGCAGACTTTGGCTCTGTAAATTGCTTTGGTCTTCCTTACAGAGGATGATGCAGTGGGGTTTGTGTGACTTCTGTTGTGCTGTCTTGGCTGAAAAGAGATAATACACTGTCACTTTAGCTACACTGCTTCTGCAGAGCACTACGGGGAACGTGAATGTCATGGCACAGTGGAGCCCAGTTCATCTCAGTTGTTCAAGGAGTTCTGCTGCGTCCTGCATGTAGCTGAGCATATCTGTGTGTCTTCACTTAACAGCTCTGAGTTTTGATCCCTTCATCAGTCCAAGCACAAAACTGCACACTGCACATTTATCTGCCTCTATTTTATCATTTTGGAGAACATTATTGTATAATCAATGGACATCAAGATGTTACAATCACAATATAATCAAGAGAGTTAGGCAAAGTGGACTATGATAACAAAAGAGAATAAATGGAAGGCTTACCCTTCAGCTGGGCTCACCACAAAACACCAGAAGGAGGGATCTCCAGATGAGATCCTTCCTTACTGGCAGCCAGCTCTTAAATAGGTCTAGGAGGGGTGCAGCCAGGCTCCCCCCCCTTCCTGCAGCACAGGAGAATTGCCTTCAGCTGTGCTCCTCTGGCTGGCTCATGGCTCGCCTCAGGTGATCAATCAGAGGTTCAGGCCGTGACTCAGTAGTTCCCATACAATTATTTATCTGTTTAAGGCAACTTCAAAGAGTGCTGAATCTGTACTTCTAGAATTAGTGAAGACTTTTTGCCTATGGCCATGGCAAAGGCTAAAACCCACTGTTACAGGAGACATGCTGTTTTTTTCCAGTATATCTTCCCATTTGCTCTGTGCGCTCTAACTGCAGGCTGCTGAAGTTGGAGCTGAGTGCTACAAAGAATCACTTGGACTTAGTGGGGACTCCTGGCTTTTGTTTCATGGTAGAACTAAGTGCACTTAAGCAACTGAGAGGGGGTTGTGCTACCAGCAAAGGCAATGGCAGTGTCCTTGTTGGGGCGGAGCAGGAAGCCTTCGGGCAATGCACTGCTTTAAACTACTCTGCACAATTCACTTTCTGTTCTATTTCAGAACCATTTTGACACAAGAAGCAATAATATCTGTGAAAGGTGTCAGTCTTAGCAGTTACCTAGAGGGATTAATGGCGAACACGATTTCTTCCAATGCTAATAAAGTAAGTATGACCTCTGTGTAATGTGTGACCACTGGCTAAATGGCAGTACAGATCTCTCTGTTACTTTTTGGCTTTGTCAGCAGTCTTAGAATACAAGTAGTTCTACTGTCTGTACTGTAGATTCCTGAATGCTCAGCCTTTTGAACTCGCTCTTTTTTTCTCCTTGTGAATGTGGATGATAAATCCTATTGGCGAGTGCTCTGAATCTTCATTGGAAAAGCATTTCCATTCACTTAAGCCTGTCACTCCTTGGCTGCCCTCCTGGTGCCATCTGTGAGGTTTGCTGTTGAGAAGGTATGCATCAAAACTCATCTCCAGCAGTGATGTGGAGCAATGAAGTGGTGTCTGAAGGATTGTTCTTTGTGAATCTTTTCAGAGTTTACCCTTTGAGTTCAGCCTCAAGAATGATAAAACACAAACTGAATAAAAAGCCACTTTGTGCTTCATAACACAGCACTGCTGACATAAGGAATATTCTTGGTTTGAGCCAGCACATCTTTCTGTGTTAGTCAGGTTTCTGAAGTAAACAATGTCACAAAGCTGTGTATTTCTTTACCTTTGCTTGGATCGTTGCTAGGATTCATACACTAAAACCTATTTTTTCTAACCTGTAGGGCCGTGAAGCATTGGAATGGGTAATAAATAGACTCAATGCTGAAATTGAGGAGTTCACAGCTTCAGCAAGAGGAACAATGAGGAATTCAATGGCAGCAGCAGCATTTGTAGAGAAATGATAGTAAATATATTTGTGTTATTAACAAGGTTTAGCAATCTAAAGCTTCTCTCCAAACGTAAATATATATATTATTTAAGGGCATACCTATGTATTAGGTATGTTTCAAGTTTTAATTTGGAGAAAAGCTAAGTTCTTACTAATGAGGCTGATTGGCAAAGCTTAATTAATATATTGGTTCAGCTGGACCGAACTTCAATTGCAGATGAAGAAATAATTTTTAGTATTCCTGTATTTACATGAACACTAACTTATAATACTTCAGACCTGAAATGGCCTCGTTTAGAGGTGAGGCTGTATATGTTGAAGGAGACTGGCATGTTTGGTTGACTTCTGTGGAACTTTTGTTTTTGTGTGACTTATGGACTACCTCTTGGGACCAAGCCCAACATGAACAGAAGGTTTGTTCCAGCATTGTCCTATTTGTTAAGCATTGACAGTTGTGTGATACAACTCGGTTTAACAGAAAGTTTATTACTTGAAGCTTGAAAAACAAAAGAATGTAGAAAATATTTTTATATGCTTTTTAACTAGTTTAACTAGTTGAGCTAACCTGGTACTCTATTATTTCTCAGTCAGTATAGGTAAAACATTCAGAAGTGTCTCTTATCTGCTAACACCTAAATTCTGTTCCTAAGTTTGACGCTGCTGGGCTGGAAATGCAGAAATCTGAGATAGAGTTTTATCTTAAACTTACAGAATAACTCCATTTCTAGGAGCCCACTAAACAAAGGGGTACAATATGCACTGAGCCTTAACAATTTCATAAGCCGATGGCGCTTCTGAGAATAGCAGCTGTTCACTCCAGACTTTCAAAGTATTGTGTAAAGGACTAAAAGGTGTTGAAGCTGGGTAGAGATACCTGAGCATGAAAGGAAGTAATATTAAGAACACTAACAATATACTCATTAACTTGATCATGCTCTGGAAGTAACTTGTTACACAACAAAGGGCAACGATTTCTTGTCCTTTAAACGCTGTGTTCTGAGTTCCAGAAGGTCCTTTACATTTTAGGCTTGTTTGCTCACAAAATAAGGCTCTTTAAGGGAAAACCTCAAGTTTTCTACACTTTTCTTTCCTGGTACTTATTACAGATTCTCGGTACTGACTTCAGTGATGAGCTGTGGGAATTTCAAGTTCAGACCCTGACATTTGTACTTCAATAATACACAGTTTGCTGGTGGTCCTATTGACTTCAGTAGAGGCTGCCTGTCCCATCTGACTCCTTTGGTGTGAAAAAATAATGGGAAAACACAGCCCCAAGTCAGCTGGGTCCTTCATTCTGGTGCCAGAGACATTTCCTGCAATTTTGATCTAAGCTTACAAGTAATCTCAGTACTCTCTTAACCTTTAAGAACTGTAATGTCACCTGTTCCAGCATATTTCATGTTGCATGCCATTTCTGTTATGTGCAACTGCCCACTGAATAGTATCTGCTATGTAAACAGCTTATTTTAAGTGGGAAACTTAGAGGGGGGTGGAAAACAATGAGTGTGGGGGGTAAAAAATAGGTATGTATGTATACACCTTTTAAAAGTTTAACTATTCTAAATATTTTTCTAAAACAAATGATTTGAAAATACCTTTATAAACTGAAATAATTGTGGTTTCTTGTGCTTTTACAGAAGATTATTGCAGCTGAAATAGCGTTTCAACTTAAGTGTGTTTGAAACTTCTGCAAAACTGTACTGTAACTTCTGATTGAAAAATGCAGTGCTTAAAAGTGACTTCAAATATTTGTTCAGCCTTCAGCATCACTTGCCATTTTAAAGTCAGTTTTATCTTTTCCTAGTTTTTGTGCACTAAGGGCCTACACAGTACGAATTCAGTTTGTCCTTGCACTGAAAAAGAACTTCAGACTACTTAATTTTTGCAAGCATTCAACAACTTCTTGGAAGATTGGATGATTTATTTTGTGCTATTTTATTTATATGCCTGCACTCATTATTCCAAGGGATATTGCTTTCTGTATTGTGCTTGGTTTTTTATTTTAAATAAAATGTTAGCTGCGTTCTGCCTAGTTCCTCAAACTGTGTTCTATTCATTTCTTTTAATTGCTAGAGTATTAATCTGGGTGGGGCGTGGAGCTGAAGGAATAGTCCAGGGTTAATAGCTTATTTTATTCAGATGTGTATCTTGTAGTATACATTTGTAAGTGGCAATAAATCAAACCTCTTTGCAGCTGCTGTGGTCTTTCTTGCTCTTTTATAACTAACCACTTTTTTTCCACCAATCTCACACATTAACTAGTGACCAAATTTCAGTTTGTTAGATCACCGGGGAAGGTTTTTGCTCTACTTAGACTGAGATCTGTACACTTCAGCTGTCAAGGAGTATGTCTCTCTACATGGAACCTCATACTGTTAAGAGCAGAAGGTTGCTTGAGTCTGTACAGTCATGGGACAGTTTGGTTGTTTACTCACAGAGGTCATAAGAGGAGACTTCACCTAAAGAAGCTTTGTTTGATTTGGTGTGATGGGCTGTGCAGCAACTACACACTGAGTTCCATCAGAGAAGCAAGTGTGAGCACTGCTATCAGATGGTTTCTTTGCTAGCTGCCTGCATAGCTGTGTCATGGCTGGCAATGCTCAGGTGAATGCAGGGTGCTGTGGCTGAATGCTTTGATGCTGCAGTGAATGTGATGTTTGCTTGTGCAGAGCAGCTGTGCATTCTGCTGGTCAGAACTAATGAGGCAGGGGGGAAAGAAAATGGAATTACAATTGGAGGGACAAAATTTAAGGGCTAGAAAGAAAGAAAGGGGGTGGGAGAGGGATAGAGGAATATGATGAGAACAAATCAGCAGTGGGTCTGGATCCTTACTTCTTTCAGCTTACCTAAGTGGATTCATTCTTCACCTCACCTGCAGATGCTGTTGAACTAGACAAACTTCAAGCTCAACTGAATAACTTTTCTAAGAAACAGAAGTGAGTGAGCTTTAGATCCAAAGCTCATGGCCTGGAGAAGATGATAAGATGGCTTATTACACTGTTCACTTGAATTTTTAACTAAGTTAGAAATCATTAGCTATTGTTGCTATTCATTGTTTTAAATGTTTTGAAAAAACAATGTGTAAAAGATTTTTGCTCACATATGATATAAGAATTGGTGATACTAGTAGTGGAATTTTGGTGTTAACTTAGTACAGGAAATTGCACTTTTCTGGTCCTAAAGATTTTTACTGTAAATTATACCTAACTTGTTCTTCACTTCTTCATTCACACATGCTGGAGACAGCTAAAGTAACAACTTGTTTCATATTACTTACAAGGTGTTTTAAGAAGATCTGTTGGGTTTGTAACCTCTCTGTGCTGTGTAGCTGCCCAGCTTCCATGCACCCATCTGCACTGAAAGTTTTTGTTGACTCAGCATTGCTGCTATAAAAACTGTGTGCCAGAACCTGCACTTGGGACTCAGTCATGTTGTAGAGTCACCTTGTATTTTGAATTATCTAGCTGAAGTAGTAAAAGCATTTCACTTTCTTAGCCTGATATTCCGCCCATTTTATTTTCTCTCTTTTTAATCCTCAGTTTTGAGAGACATTCAGCCAGCTACACGATTTCCCCTTATTTCTTCTGGTCAGGGGGAGAAAAGCGGGGGGGGGGGAATGGAGTAGGGTGGTATTGCACAGATGATGTTATTTCCTAGTCTGTAAAGAGAAGTGCAATAATGGTGCTTATTTAACTAGGATCACAGAATCATAGGGGCTGGAAGGGACCTCCAGAGATCATAGAGTCCAGGTTCCCTACAGCAGGATCCTAAGTCAGCCTAACCTTTCAAAGAAACAGAAGCACCTGTAAGACTTAAAACTTCTGAAAAAGTGCCCCAGCCCTGGCTGCCACCTCCATGCTTTTTAAAGTTTGATTCAACACTATAACAGACTGTAGACAGAAAGTTTTGGGTTATCATGCTATTTTATCGTAACATTCAAGAAAAAGCTAGCAAGCACATCAAAACATGTACAAAATCATGCACAACATTCTTAGACCTTGAATGTACCTGAATTCTTCTCTGCAGATCCTGGGCTCCTCCAGAGACTATTTATTCCCAGATGGGCAGCTAAGACTTGGCAGACCCTGCAAAATATTTTCAACTTGAATCCAGATGTCCAGAAGTTAAAAATAAGTTTCCTCATCTGCTTCATCAAATAACCTTCAAAATGTAATAGAAAACAACACAGAAGTGCAACTTTATTTTAAGATTAGAGCTGATTTTGGAGCATGTTTTCTGCTGTGCTCTGTGCTTAGTGCTGTGCTTAAACAAAGAGGAGATTTAATAGGAGATGACCTTTATTGTCATCAGCATGCCATGATTTCCAGTAGCTGTGGAGCAGATTAGGGTCATCAGCAGAGAGAACAGCAGAGCATTAGCAGCACAGCCCAATACGGCTTACACAAGCAGAGAAAGGAGATAAATCCACAGCTATCAAAGGTAGGAAGTATGACTACTGATCTGTATATTTTATACAATAGTAACTGTAATTCCATGTTTCTTGACAGTGTTATTTCATAGAAAATTAGGCAATAACCTTATGGAGTTAAGGCATAAAGAATGCAGTGAAGGGGTAATGGCTCTTATAATCTGTTGGAAGTCATGTTAATACTGGCTTTTCTTTCTACTGTAATTTTCCTTCTGTGCAATTACTTTTCTTCCCTGTACAGTGTACTTGAGAAACTTTATAAGATTAGAGATAAAGTCAGTCACCAAGCAGTGCAGTTGTTAAACAACAAGGGCTTTTTTTTTTTTTTTAAGGAACTTCTTAGTTTTATTTGCTTACTGTGAGTAGAGGACAGCATACAAAGATGCATCAGGAAAGATTTGTGTGCTCTGCCTTCTCATCTACAGATACTGACAAAATTACAACCACGCTGCATGAGCTCTAAAGTTACAGATACACTATGAATACACATTCAGGTGCATTCATGAACTATTTCAGATCTCATCATTGGCACATATCAGCTTTTTTTTTTTTTTTACTCTGTTAATTTTTGTCTTGTGTTAAACCCCCACTTTTAATATTTACACAGTAAAACATTATTCCTGTCACCTTCAGCCTGTGTTCAGCAGACACCTGCTGCTAAAAGGTGACCTCAGTGGGAGTGCTGGTGATTATGCTAAATCCGTTATACATGCAGCAGTTGTGTAATCACAGCAAAGCCTGGATGTATTCACCTGAGAAAAGGCAGTCTCCTGTTGCTATATCCACTTCCTTGGTCCACAAAATACTCCTGGGATAACTGTCTGAAGAACTCTGTGCCATCTTCTGCCTATGAGTGGAAAAACAACAGGGTTCAACTACTGTTTTACAACAGTCTTGAGATGAGAAGGCAGCAGCTGCAGATCAGCCTCTTGATCCACTCATACTATAATTAGGTGTACCTTTTTGAACTAAAATATCAGCTGTTCCATTTTCTTTTTAATTAATGCCTCCATTCTATCTCTGTAATGTTATTCATCAATTCAAGCTTACCACAACCTAAAAATTACTGTCGTTACAGTTCAAGTTTTATGCCCAGAGGTACAAAATTAAAATAACAAAATAAGACCTCACATTACCTAAAACCAAGCAGAACTGATACGACTGCGTATTTCTTTACCACAGCATCAGTTTAGCATACTGCTGGCTTTCAAAAATAAATCCTGTACTCGCTGTGGAGAAAAATTAGTTATTTCCTTTGCTACTTTGTTAGCATCATCAGGAAGATCCACAGTTTTGAGTTAGACATTATGAATCAGAAGGAAGGAATCAGTCACACCTTTACAGTGAGAGGCTGGGTTTGACTCGAAGCCACCATGTACATCTGTGCACTTTGTATTTTCATCTCTGTACATCAGCAGTAAGCAGTCTGGTGTCTGGATATCCTCTGCTATCTGGAAAAGAGAAACAAAAACATTTTCATTTCCATTACATTGCATTGCCACTGTTTTATTGCAGACCTTCAGAGGGTACTCTTTGTCAGGCTGTCACAGATGTTAAAATCTCACTGAACAGGGAGAGCCATGCCAAGACACAAAAATGGCTTCTACTGTAGATACTCTTATGGATGTGTACTTCTGTACTGCTCCCCTATGAAGGAGCAGTATTCTAAATAATTCTACGAGCTCTTACTACTCAACTTTCCTGCACAAAATCAGCAACACCAAGAGAGGTAAGGACTAGAATTGTGTGTTATTTTCAAAACTGATACTTTTTGAGTTTCATTGTGTCTTTTAAAGTTGTTCTGATGTTAGTAGAGATCTTCAGTTAAAAATATTTCCAATTTAAAATTGGTCATGTTGTGAATTTACTTGGCTTTTCAGTTTCGTCTCTCACCTGGACCTTCCTGGTCTCACTTTTTGGCCTCCCTGGACCCCTCCAGTGTAAAGACTTCAGCCTCCTTGGAACTCCTAAAAAAAATCCCCTTTTCAGATTCTTTGGATCTCTCCAGTCTGAGCTCTTCATCCTCTGTGGAATTTTCCAGTCTCACTTCTTCATCTTCTCTGGACCTTTCCAGTCTCACATCTTCAACCTCTTCAGACTTCTCCAGTACATCCTCTTCAGTCTCCTTAGAGCTCTCCAGTATCACCTCCTCAGATTCCTGGGAGCACTCCAGTTTCACCTCCTCCATTTCACTGGACTTATCAAGTCTCACCTCCTCAGGCTCCCTGAATCTCTCTGGCGACAGTTCCTCGCTCTCCTTAGATCTCTCAAGTCTCACCTCGATACCTTCTCCAGACTTCTCCAGTCCAACTTCTTCATCCTCTTTAGACCTCTCCAGCCTCACTTCTTCACCCTCCCTAGATGCCTCCAGTCATTCAGCTTCCTTAGATGATTCCTGCAAAATCCCTTCGACCCCAACATGCATCTCAGAGCAAACCTCAACCTCTTCAGAATCACTGGATCTCACTGATTTTAACTACTTCATGTTTCAGGGCTCCCCTGAGTTACCCTCATCGACTGCTGAGGATGTTTCCAACCTCATCTCTGCACCCTTCACGGATGTCTCCAGCGTCTCCTTTCAGGGTTCTTCTTCCCTCACTTCCTCAATTCCTTTGGACATTTCTAACCTCACAACTTCAGTTCCCACTGATGTATCCACTCTCACGTTTCTAGATGTTGCTAATCGCACCTCTTCAGCTTCTCTTCATCTCTGTATTTAACTCTTTTAATATATCCTTTCTTCTCTCTGCAAACTCACTGTACCCTTATAAGCCTCCCTCCTTTGTGTGCTCCTTTTTAACTTATGTTTCCTACGCCTCTAAAAGATTTTGTCTGAAGGGAGATTCAGGCTTTACAAATACATTCTAGCATTTAAACAAAACTTGAACAGGGCTTGAAAACAGTTTGTACAACTCTACAACGGTGCCTTGTTTACAGGTTTATAAATATCAATATATACTCTGCAATTTTTGTAGAGTTCAATTTCAGTCATTAAGGTAATTTCCATTCTGTCTCAGCATGGTACCTCTCCCACAGATTTAACTTTGAATTCATGCTGACAATTTGTCTTTCAAAACCTACAAATAGTACATAGAGCTAAACGTGTAAACAATTGCACCCACATCATGCATCTCCAAAACAGACTGAAATCTGAGTGCACTGCACAGAACTGCAGAGGCATTTCACATGAAGATACAGAAAGGGAAGATGTGGTGGGGGGAAAAAACAGCTGATTAAAAAGAGGAACAGGTGAGAGACAGCCAGGTGGGGAGAGAGAACATAGGGACACACAGCAGGAACTCAGGTGTCCATTTCAGCTACAAGAACTTCTGTTCTGCTAAGCCATGTTTATGACCTGGGCAGCTCACAAGGCTTAAACTGTTGGTCCAGACAGAAGGAAACCCTGCTTTCATAATGTCAGTGTAACTGCAGTGTGATCTCAGCAGAGACATCAACTGGCAAATAAGGACAGGAAGCTCTGCCTTCCTACTCTCCCTTCCTGGTTGCTGTGCCTATTAATTACACTAATAAGGTAATCATCTTCTTGTACTGGCTTATGATATTCTGGAGACAGATGACAATGTACCTGGTGAAAAATTGTTTTGTTTTTTCCCTGTAAATCTATCCTGTTATCGCTACTATGCAGATTGTTAATTACAGCAGCTCTGAGCTGCGATCTCTAATAAAGAACATTATTCTATGCTTTAAAGCTTTGCTATCATCAGTTAAATCATCACTGCACAGTGATGTGACAGCACTCCGTGGTCCCAAAGGTGAGCAAAGAGGAACCAAGTCAGCCCAGGACCTGCATGGCTCCTCAGGGTGTCCCACAGGCTGGTTTGGTTTTGGAAAGAAGACACAGGGAAGAGGTATGAATACTTAAATACAAGGATTTAATAAAACAAACAATCCAAGATCTCCTTAGCCCTAATTACTTCAACATTTGCATATTATATATGGGAATTGTCTGTTTTCCCATCGTTTACTGAAAAGTGGATCATAACCTTGAGTTTGCTGTATTTTCTGTGGTTAATCTGTTTGGAGAAAGCGTTTCATAGCACTTCATAGCACTTCAGGTGCGTGAAATAAATGCAACTTATAGCCAAAGGAATCCCACACTGAGGGCACGGATCAGGACAGGCACAGCTTAAACTCCAAACAAAGGCAGCCTGCACTGCAGCAATCAGTGGCTGCACAGGTTTACAGATCGCTTTCATCCTCACACTCTTAAATTGAAAATGCTGGGAAGTGATGGCAAAAAGAAGGAAAGACAACTGATAGAGCCTGGGGGAAAAGAAAACCCAAAACGCCTTTAACCCTTGCCTGAATTCTTGGATTACACGAGAGCTTCTTAGCGAAGAGTTAACACGTCACCAACATACGTACTTTACGGCCACGTGTAATGCGGCACGTTACCGGCTCTGAACCACTGCAGGCCACGCGCAGACCTTTTCTGGATCCCTGAAGCAGGGCCCAACCGGCCGAATCTGGAGCTGAAGCCGAGGCCACCCCGACCCACACCCCGCCCCGGGTAAAACACGCAGAGAACTGCGGGGCGGAGCCACGCTGAGCGCCCAGCGCAACCGCCGCGGAAAGTCGATTCCCTCTCGCGAGACACCTCGAGAAGAAAGGCGGAAGTCGCGCGCCCCGTTCAGCCTGCCGATTGGTCGCTACCAGAGAGCGGTAACTGGGACCAGTGTAACCGACCGGTTACCATTGGTCAGTTTTCCTAAGGTAAGTCGAATTCTGATTGGAAGAAAGATCACTCTTGGTTGCTGATTGCCTAGGAAGCAGCGGGGCGGTCTTTCCTTTTCCGGTGGGTGCTGACCTTGTGGGCAGCGGAGCGTCCGTTCATCCGCAGCCATGGTGGCGTACTGGCGGCAGGCCGGGCTCAGGTAGCGCCGGTGGTGACTGAGGACGGGCCGGTGCCGTTAGGTTCCCAACTTGATTCTCCTCTCCTTTCTCCTGTTTTCAGCTACATCCGGTACTCCCAGATCTGCGCTCAGGTTGTCAGAGCGGCGATGAAGCCTCAGTACAAAGCTGAGGCGGAGAGGGCGGCGACGGCGACCGTGAAGACTGTGAAGGCCAAGAAGGAATAGCGGGGCCAATAGGTGTGAGCGCGGCGTGTCTCGTGCCGCGGTTGGAGGAGCGGCACGGGGCTCCGTGTGCGGGGCTGGGGCTGCTCTGTGGCAGTGCGGGGATCGCTGCGCTCTGAGCGCAGGGCTGTGCGCCACTTAGGATCTGCGTTGAACGGTTTGGGTTTTGTTCGAAGTTATCTGTGCAAAGGCTGCTTGATAGCTGTGGAAGAGACCTGCTGCTTGTATCTCTGTGTGTGACACTGCACGTGCAGACAGCAAGTCAGGTCTCTTCTGGGCTCTGCCTGAAGCACTACATAACAGGTAATTTGCAAGGGCAGTTTTGTGACTGGGACTGTTACACTGATGGGACAACAGCCTGTCCCCATAAAGTCAGTGTTTGTACCTTAACATTACTGCAATTATGCTAGCAGAGAGTATTGTTGCTGAAATGTCTTTCTGTAAGATGCTTGTAACTGACAAGACTGTCATAAAATACATCTCTGTACCAAGGCCTGCAGCTCATAAGGCTTGGTTTTGAAAAAGTTGTTGTAAGTATGATCAGGAGTGATTGATTGCGTTACACATCCAGAAAAAATAAGTGGTGATAACATAAATGTTGCACAGATCTATTCTGAATCTGAGAATAAGCATTGCACTGCTTGAAGTCTACCTGCATGTGTTCTCTTGAATCGAGTAATTTGTATTTTAAATCTCTCGTAGGAACTGCTCTGTGAACATGAACAGCAAACTGCAAGCTGTAGGCAAGACTGCAGTATAACATCAACACATTAACTGTAAAATTTGCCCATGTACATAAATCAGCTAATAAATTTCAGTGCTGAATAAACAAATGAATGTGTGGCAACTGTTGTTCCTTTGGAAACAAACTACTCCCTTTTGCAGAGACACTTATCTTTCATGTGTGTTAGAATGGATGACTTTTTATCACACACTACCATTTGTTAGCAACAGATGCTTATTGTCAAGGCAGATCTCTTTGTGGCTTTCATGCTGATATTTCAGGTCTATTAATAAGAGAGAGATGTAAGTGCTGTTTAACATTTTTTTGCCTACTTCATTTCCATAATGAATGAATACTTTTGTGCTCAGAATAAACTTTTTCAGTCAGAGACATTTTGATGCCACTTAAATTAAAGGCAGAACAAAGTAGAATACTTCTCCATGGAGGTGCTGCATGCGATCCATTTCCAAGACTGAACCACGATCAATGAATCAGGAGTTGGAGGTGGCTCCTTGTATGGGGTGGGAAGTGCAGAAGGCTCTGGACTGTATTACTGTCCCTGTTAGCACTTGGTCACTTTCCCTGTGAGGGAGCAGGCATGGATTCACTAGGAAGCAGCAGGAATGGAGGGGAACACAGTCATTTCCCCTAACCAAGTGAAGATGGAGTATGTTTCTGCTGCTGTGTATCTCAACAGCAAGTATAACATTGTCCCTGTGCATAGGAAGGAAGATGACGTACTTGCATGACTGGCTTCAGATTTGTGTTTACTGAGATGCTTCTACTGCTGACTATAATACAAAAGACTGAAACATGAGGCATGGCTTTCTTCAGAGTATAACAAAATCTCTTCTGGGAGAACAGTAAAACAAGCTTTTTTTTTTTTTCAAGTGAGAATTTTTAAGTGCATGTTAGTCATTATAAACCATGATTTTTGCCTACTAAATTTTTCAAGTGTTAAAGTATTTTACAGAATGCTATATATTTTTATTTCAAGGAATGTTATAAATGCAGTGTTAAGTAGATGGCTGTGAAAGGCATATTTTTCTTCCTCAAGGTATTTTTCTTATTTAGTGATTGACATTGAATTTACTTCTCTTATTTAGCTGCAAACCATTCCATCTGTTGCTGTACTGAGTGATAGGAAGAAAATTTACAATAGTTACTACATAGGAGGGAAACAAAAACCAAAACACCACACCAAAACTGTTAAACTGTTTACAACTTGGTATGCTAGTGTAACTGAAGCTATAGTTTGAAATTGAAATAAGCCACAAAATGAGTACAAGCTCTGCAGTAATGCAAACCAGCAATGTGACAGAACTATTAAAATACATCCTCTTAACAAAATTTTAAAAAAGTGAATATTTAGTCTTTTGTTTTTCCCCTTCATTCTGCTGGTAAAGGAACTGAAATTGTCTGCAGCTCTAGATCCATCTCTAGAGTGCATGATGGCATGCTGCCTTTATAGACCCTACACGTGTGTGTTCCCAACACAGCAGCAAGTTCACAAGCAGAACATGGACTGTGGTTACCTGAAAATAAGTAAATCTGACAAGTTTATAACATCTTTTGCAATTGCTTGTGATCCTAATACACACACACAGGCTGTATATTGTATATCTAGCAATAATATTCCACAAGGGAATACATTTACAAGACTGTTAGGAGGGAACCTGTCTTCATAGTGGATCATTTCTGGGAGTGATTTAGTGTAGACAGGAAAGTAGAGCATACCTGCTGTTAATTTCAAAAGCACTGTATTGTAACTTTGGAGAGGAAAATAATCTTAAGGAAGGTGTTATTTTTGTTACGTGGCTTGTGGCTGGTGCTTTTCCTTTAGTGACTGACAACAGGCTTACTTGGAGAATGTTTTATACTGCCATTGTTTTTATGTTTCCTTTTCTGGGCTAGCTTCCACTTCTTCGTATTCCTCAACATCTGCAGTGGCATCTTGGTACTGCTGGTACTCAGAAACAAGGTCATTGGTGTTTCCCTCTGCTTCAGAAAACTCCATCTCATCCATGCCTTCTCCAGTGTACCAATGGAGAAACGCTTTTCTTCTGAACATAGCTGAAAACTGTTCAGAAACCCTGATGAAGAGCTCCTGAATGGCCGTGTTATTGCCAATGAAGGTAGCTGCCATCTTCAGTCCTCGCGGTGGTATGTCACACACAGCCACTTTGACATTATTAGGGATCCACTCCACAAAGTAGGAGCTGTTCTTGGTCTGGACAGACAGTAACTGTTCATCCACTTCTCTGGTAGACATTCGGCCCCTGAAGATGCATGCCACAGTCAAATAACGCCCACGACGGGGGTCGCAGGCTGCCATCATGTTGCGTGCATCAAACATCTGTTGAGTAAGCTCTGGCACTGAGAGGGCTCTGTACTGCTGGCTACCTCGTGCTGTTAGAGGAGCAAAGCCTGGCATAAAGAAATGCAGGCGAGGAAAGGGCACCATGTTAACAGCCAGCTTCCTCAGATCTGCATTCAGCTGACCAGGAAAACGGAGTGAGGTTGTAACACCGCTCATTGTTAGGGACACCAAGTGATTGAGGTCACCATAGGTGGGATTGGTGAGCTTTAAAGTTCTAAAACATATATCATATAGTGCTTCGTTGTCGATGCAAAAGGTTTCATCTGTGTTCTCTATTAGTTGATGGATGGAGAGGATGGCATTATAGGGCTCTACAACTGTGTCAGATACTTTGGGTGAAGGAACAACGCTGAAAGTGTTCATAATTCTGTCGGGATATTCTTCTCTGATTTTGTTGATGAGGAGCGTGCCCATACCTGAGCCCGTACCACCCCCAAGAGAATGGATGAGCTGGAATCCCTGCAGGCAGTCACAGCTCTCACACTCGTTCCTGACCACATCCATGACATTTTCAATCAGTTCAGCTCCTTCTGTGTAATGGCCCTTAGCCCAGTTGTTTCCAGCACCTGAATTACCTGTAAGCAGAATTACAGAAAGAACAACCACATTAACAAGAGTAGGGCTTTTTTAGGAGAGGTAAAGGCAAGTTTGGACCATTAGCCTTGGTTGGTTTGCTAACAGCAAGTTGTACATACCATGAATAAAATTGTCAGGTCGAAATAGTGGGCCAATTTTGCTAGATCGTACACTGTCCATTGTACCAGGCTCCAGGTCCACCAAGATAGAACGGGGCACATATTTATGGGCTAGGACAAAAGGAAATGAACAACTACTGTTAGAAATAAGAGACAGACTTATAATCTATTCAAAAAAATTCAACCCACCTACAGGTCTTGGGGAGGGGATTTCTTTAATTCTATTAATTCTTTTAACCTTCCTGTTGGCCCTGCAAATTGCTGACGCCCTGCGTGCTGTGCACTTACAATAAGCCTCATTGAAGTACACGTTAATTCGCTCAAGCTGCAGCGATGCATTCCCATGGTAGTTTCCAGCAATATCAATTCCATGTTCATCACTTATCACCTCCCAGAACTGGAAAAAGAAAGAGGTTCAAAGTCATAATTAATTCATTTTTTCAGTGCAATGTGTACAGCATGAGCTCTGCTGCTCTTGTGCCGGTGGCTGCACACAAGGAGGGAACTGTGCCTGAAGCAAGGAAGGCTTTGCCATTTGTTAATTAGGCTGTAGAGGGTGGAAGAACAATCTGAGTACAGAAAATGAATGAAATGCAATAGTACCCATCACAGCAGGGATCCTCATCATCCCCCTGCACCTAATAAGTTCAGGAGAAATGCTTAGTAGCCCATTTATGCTGGTTGGATTACTGCCTATGCACTTTTAAGGTGGAGACCTCAATTCATTCCTTAGCAATAAACTATTGTAAGTTTAAGCAACACAGAATTAGTTTAAATAGCACCAGTATTTGGTATGAACGTAACAAAAACCCAGTGTTGGGGCAGGGAGGGGTGTCTGTCATGGACAAGTGGGGCTGCGGCATGGCAAAGCTGTCTCAGCAAGTATGTTTTATCTTGACATTCATATGGCTGTCCTGTGCTGGGGCTCTTATCTTGGAGCTGCCATAGTGGCAATGTAGACCCACCCAGCTACTATAATGACCCAGCTATTCTAACTTTAAAGATCTTTTGGTTTAACATCCACTCTCATTTTAACTGTACAAACACAACACTGCCAACATGTGTGTGGTATGTTTATGTACGTGTGCTTTCATATAGGTCTTGTTAGACTTAAGTGGTTCCCAGGGCAAATACAATAGAAACATGATTCACCTTTCAACCTTCAAAATGGTTGCACTTAAACTGTGTCTAGCATTACATTTCCTGGCCATCCAAGCTTCACGTGTGAATAAAAGAAACCAAGGTGACATTTGCAAGAGCGAGAAATGGAGGAAGAACACAGGGGAACAGCACTTCAACTACCATGCTTCTTCAAAGACACCCCCAGTCACTAGTTTTTACTTTTATTTTTTGGTACTACTTCCTACTAATGAACAAAAAAGAATGTTTAGGACATCACACAGCAAAAAGTAACATTTGGGGTTTTTTTCCTCCTGGTACATAAAGTTAGCAGTGACTGACCTCTCTAAACCACTGTTTAACCTACAAAAATGGACTCCAAATGACACAGCTGTCTCTCATAGGAGGCTAGTAGGCAGGAGTCCTTAGCTTAGGAAAGCCTAATTGTTCACTGATAGCACAGGGTGTTCTGCAGAATAATACAATCCCATACCAATGATCATCATGTGGCGGTTAGTGCTGTGCACCTGAATTAAAGTACTGCCATGGCAAATTTGCAGTCCTGAAGTCACTGGCTCCTTCACTTGTCCTGGTAATTTGTAGACTGGATTAATGCCCCTGGGAACACAATCCCAGCACACTCTGGAGCACTTACAAACACTGTACTACAGTCATTGCAGATGCTTCACTCTTTGAGTTTCAACCTTCACACGAAGAGCAGGTCCATCTTACTGTGTTCTCATCAATATACTCACTTTCATGGCTAACATTTTCTTCATCCTATCCCTGAGTCAACAAAGCAATTGACCCTCCTTCAAAATCCCCATCTGTTAACGATGTTTGACTCGGTAGCAATGATAGCACTTATTCCTAATAAGTAATATTGAAAGACCATACCTTAGCTCCAATTTGGTTTCCACACTGGCCAATCTGAAGGTGCACGATCTCACGCATTTTGTGTAGCTGAAGTGTTGGTAGCTGCAACCTAGCACAGCTTTTCCAGCTGCAGTCCCTAGGAGAAGCCCTCGTTCTGCTGCTGTATCAGCTACACCCAGCACAGTCTGCCCCTCAGGGCCCTTTTATACTGCTGGGACTGTCACTCTGCCAGCAAGGGGAGTAGCTGACTCCTCACAAGTGGCTCATCAGATGTTTCACAAGGAGGCAAAGCATCCACTCACCATTTGGAAGAGACAATTGTCACATACACACAACACTTAATTCCAGTTCTTTGTGCAGCAGTGTGACTCCAGACTGTGCGCACTGCATTGGTGCTTAATGATTTTACGTATATCGTATGTAGAAACACATATTCATGTAGGAAGAGTACAAGCAAAAATGAACAGCACTAAGTACCTCTGCTTCTACCACATAAACTACTCATAATGAAAGTCACACACTGCAACATCCATAATAAAAACAATAACAGCTTCTGAGCATTAATTCCCTATAATGACAACATTAGCACGCTGCCTGGCAAACTTGCAGTTCACTATTAAACATCATTTGCAGTGTACAACTGCATGAAGAAGAGGGACACAGCCAGCAAGAAAAAATACTTTGTAAGACCTGAACATAACAATGCACTCCCAATTCCCTGTGTGCTGCTCAAACATTTAATAGGAATCCACAATTTTCAGCCAATCTGAGAACTGGGTCAACCAGTGACCAACTTGCACAGACGCCTTCTCTGTCCCCACTCCTCTTTTCCACCACTAAGAAAGACAATATTTCTTATATTATTTTTCTTATTTTCTTGTATCTGAGGCGTAGCATTGGAATTCTCCAGGAAAATGCTGGAGTGAAATCCCAGTTCTGGTGCAATTAGCTATAACGCCCATAGCGTGAAATGCTTCACTGCACTCAAGGAAATAATGCAAGCCTGAGTGAAACGTGACTGCTGATAAACAGGGCCAATATCACTGAGCAACAGAAGCCCAGGATGGACTGTCTTCTGGAAACAGAGTACTTTGTTTATGTCAGATGACTGACACTGCTTTGCTAGTGTTATTTTTAAGGATAGGAGAAAGAACTATAATTAGGAAAGCACTTTTGGTTATTTTGCATGAAAAGATGGCACTGCAAGGACTAGGCTTTTTGAAAGTAACTTTTACCACATTATGGGTTACTAATGATAAGGAATCTATGAGCTTTCATTTTGTTACAAGAGAAAAATCAGCTTATTCCAGACTTCCCCACCACAGATGACTTCCACTTTCCCACCAGCCAGTGCAGGAACAGATAACTACTTCCAAGACAAAGTTTAGCAACGCAGCAGCATCACAGAAAGGAGCTAGGAAACGCTCTGTCACTCCCTGCCAAGCTATAAACTGTCATTAAAAGCAAGATCCATAATAAAGTAACACGTAAAGTAAATAAAGATCTGTAAGTAAAGAACTCCAACAGGTCAAGGCTGTGCCCACCACCCTTTGGTGCAGAAGCCTTTTCCCAACATGGAGCCTGACCCCCCACAGCCCTTCTGTTGGGTTCTGATTGGGGGCTGCAAGGACACAAGGTGTCAGATAGCAACTAACAGCAAATAAATGTTAGTTAACATATCCAATGTGTTAATTTACAATAACTAAGATTTATGGAGAAGCCAAAGACCCCAATTTTTTGTCCAAAATGTTTGGCAACATAATTTCAGCAGCACTCACTGAGGGCATTTCAGGGCATTTCACAAGCAGGGGGAAAAAAAGAAGAAAAAAAAAAAAAAAGAAAAAAAAGGGAAGTGAAGGAAATATGCAATATAGAATCACGAAACATTGTTTTTGTCTCTTGCTAAAAATATCTCCTGGGAGTCATATGCCTCCTCTGAAGCAATTCCTAATGCAGCCTTTATTACTATTGCATGTGACACAAGGAATCCCAGTGCTTTGTAGAAGTGCTTTTATGCCTCTTTTCTGGCCCTCCCTAAGAGTGCTTCCATGTGGCCTCACATCTCCCGTCGTACCAAACCTGTATGAAAAGCACGTTTCTCTCTAGGTTTTGTTTGCAGCTCTGTCATGCTTCAATGCTGAGAAACCTTGAGCCTGTTAGCTACACAAGTACACTTCCCAGGGACAGACGTTTGCTGCTGCAGATTAGCAGCACGTGTCACAAGGGAGAGAGGAGACGTGGGGAAGGGTTGGCTCTGAGCAACTTTTGGCACAGCAGAGATTAGGGGCAGCCTGGCACCGAGCCCAGCTGTTACCAGCCTGTCCCACAGCTCCTGTTATCAGCCTGACCGCTGCTTCCACCACCATCAGAGTGGGCCTGAGATACCAAAGTCTAGCGATGGGTGTAAGGAAGGACCACAAGCAACCTGCATTTGTGGTTACTGGGTTGTTGGATTGTTTATTTGTTCTTTTTTTTTTTTTTTCCTTATTTTTTCACTTTTCACCACTCCAGTACACATTAGCAACAAATATACACATGCAGGGAGGCATTCAGGGGCGTTTTTTTTTAACGTAGTTTTGCTTAGAAGGAACCAGTTTTTCCACAGTAGCAGAGAATATATTTTAAATTTGAAATGAAGAGCCACGAACAACATCCTCAGCGCTGTAACTCACCTCATCCCTATCCCAGCCAGCCCGTCCTTCCCATGGCTCTTTCAGACCTGCTCTGCGCTGCAGAGGGGCAGGCAGCCACCGCTCAGTCTGAGACACACCTGCCTTTCACACACCCGGCCCGTCCTGCCGCAGCCCCGCTCAGCTCTCGCCGCGCTGTTGGCTTTTTTCCCTTCCTCCTCAGCGCCTCCGTTTCTCTGACCATTAAAGGCACCGTCCTCGCGCCTCTTACAAAACGCGCTGAGAGCCGGGGAGGAGCTGCCTGCGGGCTGCTAAACCTGCTTACAAAGCGGAGCGGGTGGCCTGGCGGCGTGCCCCGGCAGCCCGGAGGGAACTCCGGCCCGGCGCAGCGCCGCAGCCTCACAACCCGCCGCGCTGCTCACAACCCCCTCGCACCTCCACAAGCGCTCCAAGCGCTCCCCGCGGGGCCGCGCCCGCAGAGCCGAGCGGAGCCGCCCCGCCCGGTCCCAGCCCATCGCTGGGGTCTCCGCCCCGCCCTTCAACGCCGGCGCTGCGGCCGCGCGGGGCAGGGAGGTGCTGCGGTGCTCGGCATGGCCGGTCCGGCGCGGCTCCTCGCGGCCCTCCTACTGCTGCTCTGCGGCTGCCTCTACCCCTGCCGGGCCGGTCTGTACGTCAAGGAAGGGCAGCACTGCTACAAGCCGGCCCCGCGCAGGGCGCCGGGGCTGAGGTGAGTTCTCCCGTCTCTCGCGGGCCGCCGCCCGGCTGCGGGCTGTCCGAGCTGCCCCGGTCCCTCTTGCCGCCGTCTTGCCGCAGCCGTGGCGCCCGGCAGCTTGGCGAGGCGGACATCGTCCGGGCACGGTCGGGAAGCGGCTCCGGGCAGCCCCGAACCCGTGGCTCCGGGATCCGCTGCCCGATCTGCGGCTGTCACGGGGCTGAGGGAAAAGGTCGGCACCGCTCCGCCGTCACGTGACCCGCGCCCCGGGCCGGGCGTTACGAAATGCTGGAAACTCCCGTGTTGTGGTTTTACTTTTTTTCCTTTTGTCTTTAAATTCCCTTAATTTCCATGAAAATTCCCCTAGTTTGCCTGAAGATACAGGCAACCAGAGCTCTTCTTTGTCTCCATACAGAACCTACCCCCGGCCTCACGAGTACCTGGACGTCGCCAAGCTCCCGCAGAGCTGGGACTGGAGGAACGTCAATGGCGTCAACTACGCCAGCACCACCCGCAACCAGCACATCCCTCAGTACTGCGGGTCCTGCTGGGCCCACGGCAGCACCAGTGCACTGGCAGGTACTGAGAGCTGTGTTCTCACCACCAGCCTCTTGCCCTCGGTGATCTGTAGCTCTTTGCTGAGCAAAGGGTGTTCAGTTTAAGCTTAGAAAACAGCTGATACAAGAGCAGCCAAGGATCACGTGAGGGGGGAGTACTGAGGTGGTTAAAAAGCTGTTTGCAGAAGGATTCTATCTGTAGTGCCTGTCAAGCTGCTATCTAGAGCAGGAATTCAGCATTCTGTTGAAGGAAGCTTATAAACAGGAGGGAGACTGACTTTTTATGTGGCCTGACAGCGACAGGACAAGGGGAATGGTTTCAAACTAGAAGAGGGGAGATTCAGGTTAGATGTTAGGGGAAGAATTTTCACTCGTAGCAGCGAGGCTGTGACAGTGCTGTGGGTGCCCCATCCCTGCAGGCTCCCAGGGCCAGGCTGATCTGGTGAGAGCAGCCTCCCCATGGCAGGGGTTGGGGCTTTAAAGTCCCTTCCAACCCAACCCATTCTATTATTCTTCTCGGAGGGGCAATGAGGGTAGAAGCAAATACAAAAGCAGTCAGTGTGCCCCCATCCCTTTGTTGGTAGCTCAGCCTGCTGCACCCCCTGCTAAGGCAGCAAAAGGCCCTGCTGTGCTGAGACATGAGGAAATGAAAGTTTCCACTTATGGGAAGGGCCCTGTTAATTCAAATGAACTGACTACCACAGCATACAGACAAAGCTCTCTGAAAGTGTAGCTGAATGTCACATGTCTAATAGGGTTAGAAGAACGGTTGTGTCAGTTAAGATTGTTAATGCCCTGTGAGAAGCACCTTGTAAATATCGATTAGGAAGCCTTTCTGTTAGGTAAGCAGCTGTTTCAGAAAAAATAAGGCAGCAGGATGGCAATACCCATCTGAGAGCAGATGGTGAGAGGTTTTCGCAGCAGTGTGGGTTTACTTCTGAAAGTTTTTTAACTGCTTCAAGCTTGGGACTGCTGTTCCTGGAGCCAGACAGCTGTGCTGCATGGGCTTATGACTAGCAGCTGGTTTCATGATTTGTATTTTGATTTGAATTAAGAGCTCAAGGGCACTTCAAGGGTTTGAACAGATCTTATTATCTGCATCTTCTTGCTGAGCTTTTAATGGAAAAGGCTTGTAATGAAAACCCACAACCACTCAGCCTGCCTCGTGCTATGTGCCTTTCTGCAATAGAGGCTTTTCCAACCACAAAAACTGTTGCTTACAAGTAGTTACAGGTTCACTGAAGGAGGCTGTTTTAACATTAGATGCAGTGTTTAACAGCCCAAGCGCTCCAGTA